AGATGGCCCACATTTGTTTGGTTCGATATTTTATTTTCAGATTTTCATTTTAATTGTTTTAAACTTCAAAAAATCATAGAAAATTCATTTTAAGTCCAAAAAATCTGAAAAAATTATGAAAAATATTTTTGATTTTTATTTTTTTACAATTTTATTTTGTGTTTTGATATTTTTTATAAATTTTCACTTTATTTGAATTGTTTTAAATGTTTAAATATACTTTTATGCATTTTTAAATTCTAAAAAAAATATGGAATGATCCAATGATATTATGACAAATATTGGTGACCTCATTTATTTTTTATTTCTGAGTTTTTTGTTTTTTATTATTTTTGGTTTATTTTACTCATTTCTTTTAATTTTAAAAATAGTTTTTGACTTTAAAAAATTACCAAAAATTTTATAAAAATATTTAAGTTCACTTCTGATTTTTCTATGGCCTTGTTTAATATTTCTTGATTAATTTGAACATAGTTGATATTTTTCTCTCTTATTTCTATTTTAAAACATTTTAAAATACTTTTTAATATATATATATATATATATATATATATATATATATATATATATATATATATATATATATATATATATATATATATATATATATATATATATATATATATATATATATATATATATATATATATATATATATATATATATATATATATATATATATATATATATATATATTAAATGTAATATTATTTTGTGATTATTTTCTGGCTGATCTTGGGTTGAATTTTTTATCATGAACTTTGTTAACATTATTGGATCCATGGTGTTGCGTCTAACTCCATAAAAATGGATGAATGATTTTAATAATAGTTTGATTAAATTTTAATTCAAATGTGGTTTATATTCTTTCTCATCCCTCTTCATCTTGTCTCTTTCTTATTGCACTAAATGTTATTGGAGCATGATCTCCATATCATGTCTCAAAACAAATGGTGCATAGATTGCTACTGACCGACCTCAAAATAGGTGCGACTTCTATATAAGTCCACTTACGATTTCTTAACATAGCGCTAAATTTTGTTCCGATTCGAATAAATGATCATTCGTGACTCAAACCTATGTTTGTAAGCCCAAGTATGTTAATTTGATCTCTTTGATCCAATAACCTTGAGATTCATTGTGTAGTTGCTTTGGTTCTACCAATCTTCTGGCGGATCTTCATTAATTTTGGTCAACACGGATCACTTAAACATTATTGATCATTATATGGTACTTTTGAGGATTCCAAAATGGATGATATACTTGACAAAAAGCAAACACAACTTGTTGTGTGGAGGCTTTGGTTCTACCAATCCTCTAATGAGTTCAAAATGCAAGTTTCAAGATGGTCATCCAACTAACCACTAATTATTGATAATTGATTTTATTTTGTGTTTTTATTTTTATGCTTTATGTACCATTTACTTTAGCATTTACATTTCATGCTATTTTTCATCTTTGCTCACTTGAGCCCCTTTATATTCTTGTCATTTTTATTTTGCTCACTTGAGCTTTTCTTTTTTGTTAAGACACCTAATAATCAACATAAACCATAAAAAATTTTAATGATACTTGGACTATTTGGTTACTATCCTTGGCATTATGGAGCATTGAACTTCTTGAACTTAGGGTTAGAAACCTTGGCCTATGTTTGAGACCTTGTAACCTTAATTGATATTTTGTCTGGAGTTCTCGAGGTTTACCTCAAGACATTGGGTTATTTGTTTGTTTGTGTGCAGATTATTATGATTACATACTTTGTTTGTAATCTGGAATTCACCCATATACAGCCGTTACTCTGCTCAATTTTTGTGAAGACTTAATACACTTGAAGTTTAGTTCTCTCAAGAGGTCTATTATCTTTTCTTGCTTGGTTTCAATCCAAAGAATTAGAATTCTATCTCGACTAAAAATGTCAAGTATTGGCTTCTCGTTGGTTAGATGGTTCTTCTCCTTAGCTTTTACTTTATGCTTTAGGATAGTCTCTTCTTCTCCTCCCATCTTCTTTAATTTCAAAAATCTCCTCCCTCCTTTTGAAAACTCTTCTTGTTTTTTAAACTTGAATCACTTTCATAATAAACTTGGACCTAGGTCCATGTATTTTCAAAATATTTTCATAGATAAACTTCAATCAACTTAATAATACCTTGACATTTTTTGTGAGAAGATTAAAAGTCAATCAATATCATTTCAAACCATTTTGCCACTTTGGCTTTTTACTTTTTAAACCTTTCTCAAAAGATTGGACTCTTGTCAATCCTTGTAGTGATGCAAACAACTATACTTCTATAATATGTTGTGAAGAAAAATATTTTCCACTTGGGTGTTGAGTGAGGCATTGTTAATTTTAAAATCCAAGCCATATCATCTGCTTTGAGATGATGCAAATTCTCCTCTCTTATGATTGTGGATAGTAAGTATGTTTTCCACATGGACAATGACGATGATGTCTTATCTCATAAAATTAACCAACACACTTGTGTTTTAAAATTTTCAAAAGAGGAACTACGTGTACCCTGATCCCCTATTGCACGAAAGGTGGTACATAGGCACTAAAGGTTCGCAACCACGACAGGTGGAAAAAAATCATAAAAAATACTTCTTTTCTCACCTCCACCATCTATTTTTTTATACAACATTTTATTGCCAAAATATACAGATTTTACAAAGAGGTTCCTACGGAGTACCGTAGATGTTTAGGGTGCTAATACCTTCCCTTTGTATAACCAACCCCCTTACTTTGAATCTTTCCCCTTCTTTTTTGGTTACTCGTTCTTTTCCAATTCCATTGGAAACAATAAAGCACGGTGGCGATTTTTATTTTGATCTGTATAAGTCTAGTCAAACGAATGGCTTAGTCTTAAACATTTCTACCGCTACACTGCCAAAAAACTAAAGCCTAAGTCTGGCCTGTAGCCTGTCATAGGCTTATTTTTAGGCATGAGTCTGGCCTTTTTTAAGCCCTGGTTAGCCCGTTAGCCTACATAAAAGCCTCTTATTTTAGACATATGTAAATAAGAAATTTAAATAATGTTTAAATAGACTAAAAAATTAAAAAACCAATGAGACTAAAAGTTTATTTGCATTGATTTATTTTAACTTACCAATTAGTATAATTTTTGTGAGACTATTTGTTTAAGAGGACTTATGAAAACAACTTATAACATTGTTCATAAGGAGTTTTCATCTTATTTTCATAAGTTCTCCAAGATAACCAAGTTTTATTTTAATTCAAAGTACAATACATAACATAATGATAATAAAAAAAATTATTCATATTTATTTATATAGGTAGGCCTGTTAGGCCTAAAAGGATTTTTTTCATGGCCTGAGGCCTAGCCTTTTCAACTAAATAGGCTTATAAAAAATCCTAGGCCTAGTCTGACCCAATATAGACTAGGCCGTAGCCCGAGCCTATGTAGGCTAGGTCATAGGTCCCTGTTATTGGCATGACCTATTTCAACCCCTAATTATAATCCATATCATACACACAAAAAATTCATTCAAAATGGTATTGTAAGCCAAATGATACACAAAAGTGGTATTATAAGCCATATGATACACAAAAGTGGGATTATAAGCCATAAGCTACAAAGTGGAATTATAAGTCATTACATCAATCAGTACACATCAAAACAACAAAACAAAACAATTAGGGTTGGCTTATAATAGGTTTTAGGCCTTTTTGAAGTATCCTTTTCTTTTTGGGTGCTTGTTAAGTTGAAGTTGCAGATGGTGCCTCATGAGTTACAAATGGAGCTAGCTGACTAGCAGGTACAAATGGTGTTGGTTGGCTAGCAGGTGCTAGCTGACTAGCAGGTGCAGATGGTTTAGTTGTGGGTGCAGAGTCACTTTGTGCTAGCTGAGTGACTGGAAGAGGTAGCTTACAAGTGGCCTTATTGTCTCCATCCTTATGGCACCGATAGCATTTGATACCAAATTTTGCACATTTCAGTTGTGACTCATGTCTCACTTATTCTCCAGCCTCTTTATTACTTTTCTTCTTGGGTCTAACATGTTACCTTTTATGGATGGTGGTTGTAGATCAACAACATCAGTTTTTGTCCATAGATATTCCCCTTTAACTAGATAAAACACTAGTGTATAACAAGCCTCGTTGCAATCCTTTTTGTAAAATCAGACACAAAATCATCAGTACACAACAAAGCATAGTTTTACCTAACATTTCAATTATGATTTTTTTTGTGATTCCTTTTCCATTCTCTTTTTGATATTAGGTACAATGTTACCATCAAATTTGGAAATCTTCTGCCCGTTGGACTCCCACCTTAATTTGCACAAAGAACAGTATAATTTCTTCAATCATAGTCACAATAGAATTGGCTCTTGCAACTATAAATATTGAGTTGAATGCATTTGGCATATTATTCACCAATTTGCCACACCTTAGACTAGTTATAAACCTCGATTTGTTCCAGAACCTTGATGCAATCTTCATAAGGTCCTTGAATGCCTCCTCATTAACACTCATGATTTCATGCATGATTTTTTCCCAAGCATTTACATAAGTAGCAGTTGTAGCCTTCCACATCAGTTTCTTCAATTTAAGACATGGAAACTTCTTTTTGAAATTGTTGTATAAATGCCTGCAAACACAAAATAGGGAATAAAGTGCAACCTTTTACATATTAAATGGACTAATGACAATATAGTAAAAACAAAAAAGGGACTAATATGAATAGTTACACATTAAAGGTATGAATATCAATACCTAACACAAAACCTTTGGTCAACCACTGGTAGAAACTCATCAACTGTTGGCAATAAACCATGTATTACAGTTGAAACATATCAGTCATAAATGTGTAAGTCTAAAAATGCTAAATGTGTAAGAAATAATTAAAATAGAATAGTTTATGCACCTTTTGCTAATTACTTAAATGTATAAGTCTTGCATAATCTGACACCTTGTTATTATCAACTGCAATCTCTTCGCCAATTCCTATATCAGCATCATCATTATCATCATCATCATCATCTCAATCTTCAAAGTTCACATTCGAAGAACTGTCTTCGCTACCACCACCATCTTTTTGGTTACATTCCAGTCCCTTATCTTCTTCTTGGTTACAAATTATTCCCTTAACTACTGCATCTTCTTGCACACGTGCTAGACAATATGTACCATTCAATACCACAGATTCTTGTTCACATACCATATAATCAGTATTCCCCGTCAATATAATATTCATTATTGCATCCTCACCTTCAGTGGTCCCCTCTAAAGTAACATCCTCACCCTGAATGGTCCCCTCTAAATTAACACCCTCACATGAATCTTCTTGGTCAATGCCCTCAGTGTCCCCTCCAAATTAGCATCCTCACATGAAATTTCTTGGTCAAGTGCATCTTCTACACTAGTGGCCCCTCCTTCATCAAACTTTTCCTTTATATTATTCAAATCTTCAAAAGTGCCCAAATCTTCAAAAATACCTTTTACACCATTCTTCAAATCATCCAAATTATTGTTTTCAACACTATTCAAATTATCCAAATTGTCCTTTTTTTGTACCTCACATTCTTCATCCTTTTCATTTGATCCTACATTGTTTTCTAGAGAGAGTATAGGATCTTCAATATAATCTAGTTATGAGAGTGGATGCATAACATATAAATGTACATTCTGATAAATTAGTGCTATGATTTTCATTCTATTTGTTCCTTCATCATCTTTCAATAAAGTTAGCTCATTAATATCCATTGCATCATAATGCCACACACTCTTCACTTTTGGGTACCCTAAATCCTTTAAACCACTAAGAACCTCAAAATAACTCAAGTAACCAGTGTATACTTTTCCAAACCACCTCTAACGCCCTTGTAACCTAATTTCTTAAACTCAACAAACACATTCCCATGATAGACAACACACTGAAACCTATTAGACATGAGCTAATCGGACTAAATAATGAAGAATCAGTATTTGAAGAAGGTGAAAACAAAAAGGTTTGCTTTTTAAAATAGTAAACAGATAATCGTACCTTAGAAGAATAATGGAAATAAAGATTGGTGAAAACGTTTCTGTATTCGTCTTCTTCGTCACTCCAAATATTAAACAGAATTGTTTTCTTCGTCGTTCCAAATTTCAGAGTATGAGAAGAGTGAGCTAGGGTTCATAAGTGAAGAGTCTCAGAGAAGAGTGAGCTTGTGTTGGTAAATGAAGAGTTGAAAATGTTATTTATAATATTAGAAATGTTATTCATAATTAAAATTAAAATAACTGAATTAATAAAATTAAAAAAAAAAACAAACAAAAAATCATGTCATATTTTAAAAAATATATTACAAATGCTACGTTTTTTCTAAAAAATTTAACAAAAGTGATTTAATAGGTTAACATAAGAGTTTTAAGGAATTATAATGTAATGTTTTTTAATTAATTAAGGAACCAAATCAAAACAATAAATTAAACTAAAGAAGAAAAAAAGAATTAAACTTACATTTAATTAAAAGAAGTTGAACAATTTACATCCCATTACTCTTTAATCATATCTCCAAGTCTATATGGATTGGTGTTTTGTATGAGAGTGATGTTACTAAAGGCTATTATAAAATTCTGGTACAAGTGTACAACCTATGGCCAACCTTCAAATTTTATATTAGGAGAGTAGCATGAGCTAATAATATTTTAAATGGGGTAAGTACAACCCACAGTCAAGTTTGAAACTTCATTTTGGAAACAATGAAAGAGACTCAACTCAAACATACATTTCCCATCAATTTAGGCACTATATAATTAATAGTATAACTCTAATACAGATTATAAAATGTTCTCCAATTTTTTATTTTATTTCTCTACAGTAGTAAGTTAGATACATTACCTTTTTTGTATTTTACTTCAATCGTCAACAATGTTGAGCTAGCTAGCTGTTCAAACTTGAAATGCACAAGAGGTATAGGACTCAAAGAAGATAGGTAGGATCCCAACAGTTTTGTCTCAAAGATGTTATACACTGACCACAACCTAAACACATACAAACAACAAATTTTTTTCAATTATTAAACACATTTCCAGTAAAATGTCATATTTTTTGGGAGGAGGCCTGAGCAACTATCCAAAAACACAATTTTTTTTGGCTAGATATTTATTTTTTAACAAAGTTTTTGAACATTCGTAAATAAATATTTAAAGTCTTTTTTTAGGTTTTCATTACAGTTATTGGGTTCACTGGACCGACTAATCCGCTTCAGGGCAAGTTCTGGCATCAAGTGATTTTGACTCATTCCCAATCCCAACTGTGGAAGATTGAATCGTGGTCTTTCATATTAATTTCAGAGTCAATTACCACTGGACTAACTTTCATTTAGTATGTTTAAAGTATTAAATTTGACCTATAACATAGCCTAGGCTGTCTAGTGATTGCGGGGACATATAGTGTGTCATTTAGATGCAATGCAATGTTAGACTCAATACCATAAAAAAATTTAGAGTGACCTATTGATTTGACCTCTAGACCTAAGTCAATTACCAATTAACATTCTATTTGGACTTGTACATACTTTCACATCTTGGATATTCATAAAGTTAGAAGTTATATAGTGAGATACACCTAAGTCAACAAATCACGCTTGTGATTCAAGTTGTTCAGGAACCTCCAAAGTATTATGATGAGCTAGTTAGACATTTGCTGAAGTTGTAGTCAAGGATGCACTCTTAGAACTTTTAGTGTCATTGTCATGTGTGCTAGTTGAAGCTTGTGCATGGGATTTTGGTGGAGTTGGCTCAAAATTTTCTTGAAATCGAGGCCGGCAGTCAAGGAGTGAATGACCATATTTGTTGCACAGTTGGAATGTATGCCTGCTACCTGAGACAAAATTATGTTGGCCTCGACCTTTACCACGGGTGTTTCTTCCTCTACCACGATAGTGGTTGTGGGAGAAGTCATTTCTGGGATCTTCAGAGTTATCGGATGCTTGAGCTACATTGGCAGTCACATTTGATTTGGCCAATTCCTATTTGTACTTGTCCAATTGTGCTTCTTGGATATAGAACATGCTTCGATATTGTGATACGGTGGGAGAACTGACTTGAGGGTTTTGTGTTTTATCGCAAATATTGTGATTAGCAAGAGTCGCCACCAAATTTTCTTTTATCCAAAAGGAAAGGTGAAAAAGCACAGGAAAGACCTTTGAGATTATTTCTTGAGTTCGGGGGATAGATTAAGAAAAGGGAAGGTATTAACACCCTTTTCATCCATAGTTTTCCATGGGCTCTTAGTTACTTGCTAGATCATTTGCTTTTGTTTGAAATTGTGCTTTGTGTGGTTTTTGAAAGTATTTTATAAAGAGGCCATTGTTTAGGAAAACTTTGTAATGATTCTCGTTCGTAAGAATGTATACAAAGATGTTTGATCTTTTGAAAACATTTTCAAGTTTGAAAAAGATTTTTGAAAGTGTAGGTGTTTGTTTTGAAAATAGCAAGGATGTTTGTTTTGAAATAGAGCAAGTAATTAGGAGCATTCTACCTACTCAAAAGTCTTTCTTGTTCATTTTCATTTTCCTTTGACATTGTTATCTTACCACTGATTTGGTAAGTAACCCTATCTTTGGATATAAACGGGACAGACGTGGGTCATCGTCTAGCCATGATTAGCAATGTTGCAAGGTATCTTAGCATTCTCTTTTAGGGACTAAGATCATTTGAAAGGAAACTTAGATAGCGTTGTCGAGGGACTATGATCTTATACTTTGCTTGTTTTTGCTAAGATACCTCACATGCGTAATATGGCCATTTTGTAAAGGCAACCAAGGGGATTTACCCTAGGGGTGTTTGTGTGCAAGTGTGTTGTTTTCATGCTTGATTTTGTCTTGAATTAGGGTTTTCTAAGTATTGATTTTAGTCTTTCCATACAAACCCTAATTACTAGCATTTGTATATAAAGCGATAAATTACGGAATTTAAAGTTACTACGCTATTACAAGATTTGTGGGAGGGGGTGTACAAATTGTAAATGGGGATTGCAAGAATATAAACTAATTAATCTATTACAACCATATTGAATTGGTACAAATGTACAAGAAATTAAATGAATATAATGTACAAAATAAACAAATGCAAGAATGCAAATATAAAGAAAATGAATATTTTTGTTTGGATTGTTTAGGAAAAGTGAATTTATTTTAACCTAATTAATTAAAAGAAAATAATTAATTAAAATATAAAAGTAAATCTAATTTAATAAGAAAATATTTTTAAATAAAATCCTAATTCTATTAATTGATTAAAAGGAAATTAAGTTTAAGAAAAGTATTTTTGTATTTTTGTCATGAAAATAATTTATAGTATTATAAAATATTTTTGGCCCTTTTTTTATATTAAAATAATATATTTTAATTGGTGTAAAAGAAAATAAATAATATCCTAATTTTAATTAAATTTACAAGAATGATTAGTAAAATAAATAAAGTGTTAATTAAATAAAATAATTTTTGTGTGAAAAAATAAATAAACTAATGTCAAAACATAAATCTACTATTTTTATATTTTTTTATGATTTTTTAATATTAGAAAAGTAATTAAGAAAATAAAATAAATGAAAATAAGAAAAGAAAATAAAAATTGGGTTAGGGGTGTGAACAACCTGCAAGGGGGTTAGAAAGCAAAAACAAAAAAAAAACATGGCCCAAGGAGGCCTAGCGCCCTGCCAAAAACCAAGTCAGAAAGCGAAAAATGTGAAAAAAATCAAAAGGCTACCACTAAGGCTCGAACCTAGGTCCCAAAGGTTACAGGCGCGCACTTCTACCACTGGGGTGGCTATACATCCGTTAACATAAGCAAAATGATACAAAATGCGCCCTGATTTACACTTCATCTTCAACCTCCAGCCAGACCAACTGTAACTTGTTCATTTCTCAACAAAAATGAAAACTGTAAACATGAAACTTATGGCAAATTTCCTCGCGGTTTCATAAATGTAAAGCATTAAAACTATAGATCAAAGATAAGCATGAATTTCATTGGCCCTAAACTGAATCCTAAAAATCTCAGAAAATTCAATCTTAAAATTCTCTAAGCTCAAGCAAAATTAATGGAAACTATGGACATGGTTAGCTTTAGGGCAATGATATCTACATGTTTCATTCACTAATAAATTATTGACAATGCATGTATGAAGAGTTCCAAAGTTAAAAAATATACCTTGCAAGAGGGTATCGGGTTTGAAGTTTGAGCAGCTTCTAAGGAGTTCCAATGGTTGGGTTAGCTTCCTCAAGTTCCCAAGAAGCTAATGGGATGCTTAGCTTGAGCTGAAAGTACCTGAGGAGTTCTGGAGAAGTCCAAGTGCAAAGCTCTATTTTTGAAAATGGAGGATGGTGTTAATGGTGTTATAGTTCTGTAACAGGGTGTGGGATCAGTTCTAAATGATGTTTGTGAGCTTTAGGAAACAAAAGGCTTGAAAACGCACGAGGGAGTTATGACTTTCAAGTTTTTGGTCAGTTTATGTGAAAATGGAGGTATGAGATGTGATTCTGAGCTCTAGGTTTTTTCAGGACTTAAGAATTTGTGTATTTTGTGTAAAATAGTTAGTGTTGTACCCCAAAATTTGCCCTCCCATATTTCTCAAAGCATTGCAAGAAAAATCTCCAAGTGGTTCAAGGTAGCTCAAAAGTTGGTCAGACAAACTCTCTCCTAAGGCAGTCTACCCTAAATTAGGGTTTTGTGTTGAATCAAGATCCTTGAGTCCAAATGACTTCAAGTGCTCCCTAATGTCCTAATATGTTCTCAAGATCATCCATGTCAAGTTTCAAGCCTTGCAGAGGAAGTTTGCAAAGTCAATTGCCCAAAGGTCCAAAAATCGACTATGCTAGGGCAAAAGTCAATTGTGGCCTACATACAGTCAAACTTCAATATTTTTTGTCAACATTCTCATTTTCAAGGGTATTTCATCATTTGATCAATGGTTGATCATGATTCATCAAGGATTGCTCAAAATTCATCAAGATTCAAAACTTGCTAAATTAGGGTTTTGCAGGAGAAGTCAACCCAACTTTGACCAAGCATAACTTTCTCATACTTTATGATAAATGACCCATCCAAATCTCATTTTGAATAGGATGAAATTACCTATAATCCATCTTCATACCCCAAGATCAAAATATGCACTCACAAGAAGTTATGAATTTGGACATTATAGGTCATTTTGAAAAGTCAACAAAAACACCTATTTTTCCAAAGCTTCTAACTTCAGTATGGAATATCAAAATGAGATGATATCAAAAGGGTTGATTATAGGACATCTCAAGCTTTCTAGAAAGTCCAAGAACACCTCCAAAAGTTCAAAATTGAAGAAGTTATGTATTGTTGAAGTTGGACTTTTTTGCAAAATTGCCAAAAGTCAACTATCCCCAAAACTTCAAATTTTGCCAAATGGGCCCATTATTTTCCACTTGATTTGAGTTTGCATTATTTCCCACGTGCCTTAGCTTCAACCATGTGTCCACATCACATTTTTATTATTTAATTTGATTTTTATTTGAATTAATTTATTTTAAATCAAAGAAAATCATATAAAATCTAAAGCTTTGATAACACATGATTTTTTGGCTATTTCAGGCTCCAAGTACAGCTATTATCATCATCAAATTCGTATCAAGTGAATCATGTGCAAAAAGATTAAAATTAAGAAAATTTGGCAAGTTTATAAATGGAGATCAAATCAAATATCCAAACATCAATATGGAGAGATTTGGACCAAGTTTGTAAACCTAATGCAATGTACAATACTTAAGCAAGCTGAAGGCACGAAAATAAGGGTTGGAAATCACTTGTAGAGGCAAAACCACTTTGCAAAAATTCACAAAAAAGTTGGAAATAAAAATCCAGGTTAGAGGCAGTTTCAGGACGCGAGAGTTGTCTCAATCAATTGCTGGCCATCTCCAGAAGCTATTACGTTCCAAACCACGCATCCTCAGGCATCCATACACGTTGTAAGTCTCACGCAACTTACCCCTGTTCTTGAAATCGATTTGAATTATTCTGGCATCATTTGAGAAAACTAATGGCATATTTGTGATCACAAGAACATTTGCAAGCTTTTCATAATATTCAATTGCATTTATCTGGCTTATATGGAGAACCACCATAGTTAGGGTTCTTGGAGTTTCTTTGGGGCTTTCTGTTTAAGGTACAATTGGCCCATAAGAAGAACATAGTTGTGATCAGGAGGTCATGACGAATTGAACCATGTTCTTGGAATGTATTTATATAGCCTGGAGAGGATTTTAGA